AACTCTTGTGCAAAACAGTTCTTGCACAAGAAGCCTGCAGTGTAGATGTAGCCTAATTGTTACCAGCCTGTTACCACATATATGAAATGTTTGAATTGGGATGCTTTGGAAGCCGACTTTCATTACAAGAGATACACTTTGTACTGGACAGTGCCCCGGGGATCTGTTCATTCAGAGACAGCAGGCTTCTGTAGGCTAGCATTGGGTACTGCAGCCATGGCATCGCCTGCAAGAGTACTTGGCATATTGCTTCCCCACTCACATCCTTCTCTAATGGTACTCACACTATATATAAATAGTACCTTCTCCCCATCCCACTTATTTTATAGCCCCTTATAGCATAGTGTCTGCAAAAATAAGATAGCAGGAAGGGAGAAACTCAGCCCATGTTGCATCTGAAAGATGCAGTACAAGGGAGGAAGATTGTTAAAGGCAAAGTTGAGCTATTCAAATTGCTGAACAGCAAGTAGGGCAGAAAGCAGGTGGGTAGGCATGGTGGACAAGGTCCTTACAAATATCTTCCCATTCATTTAACAGAGGTCCTGAGCCCCTGTTAGAGGCCATGCATTGTGCAAGAGTAGAGGAACAAGTTTGTTGCAGATATTTATATTAGGCTGAGCTACCAAACTTCGTCCTTTCCACTAGATGCAACAACCCTGATTTATTGTTCCACACAGGAGTTGGGAACGTAGCCAGGCTCAACTGAAAACATCTCACGACGAGATTCTAATGCTGCAAGATAGAGCCCCACATCACTGTGCGAAAGGGCCTTGCCAGAGGGCAATCCTGCACTTCAATCTCTATGGGAAGACACGGTGAGCCAGCCCCTGCTCCACACATTGTGCCCTGTAACACAGTATGTGCTTGTCAGGCCAAAATATGAATCGGTTAAACAATGTTTAAGGTTAATACTACCACCACGGCTGCATTCAAAAAGAGACCCATTTAAAGAGCACTAAGCAATGAATTCATATGCCGGCCAAGGGCAGGAAAGGGGGGTGTTTAGAGGGGTAGAGAGCTGACGTGATTTCAGTTTGAAACTTATTGAAACTGGAGATACAATGCCCAAACCACCCTAGTGTTTGAAAGCAGACATGCCATTTCCTGTATGTGAATCAGGTCCACACTACAATTTGGAAGATCATTTCCATGCCAGCTCTAGCCACTGATTTGGTTCTCTCCATCATGTCTGATCATAGGGGTAGCGCCCTCTCCACCCGGTTACCTTCTTTAATGCCAAGCTGCTTACAGATTTTGACAGAGGTCTGGGTGTATTATTTTCCCCTTATGAATTCATTTGGTGGTGCCTCCACCCCCCTCACTCCTTCCTGGCAGGGTCACCAGGGCAGCATGGGAGGAAAATTCTCACCTCAGGGTAATCCCCACTTACTTGCCAGCTCGTTGGAGACTTCCAAGAAATAACAAAATAATTATATTAAACAGGAGAGGAATATAACAGGGTAAAACTATTTTTAGGTTCACTGATGCCCACATGGCTAATACCTGTGACTTGCCCCAGTCACATGCCTTGATGTAGCAAAAGTAAAATTAAGGGTCCCTTTGGCACGTGAACTTTGTTGGGGCCCTTGATGACCTACGACCACAAAATTATTCTCTGCAGTGGTTTAGCAGTGTGACTGACTGGGTTCAGTACTCACAAGTGGGATAAGGTGGCAAATCCCTCCACAGGTTTAATATGCAGCAGGTTATACAATCCCCAAATCCTTACTCCCTGGCTTGAGGACACAGTTCAGGGAGTAGGGGGGTCCCCAAAACAAATTCCCTAAGAGATGGTGCACTCACAAACTCCATGAATGATCCTGTGGTTCAGAGAGGACTCTGGACTCCGCGGTGACTGCAGAGGGGTTGATTTCTGCTAGCAAGGATCCTCTTTAGGCAGGAATCATGCTGCTTCTGGCCCAGGATTTCCTCTCAGCACAAAGGGGTGCAGGGCTCAAGGTGCAGATTACACAACTGTACTAAAATCCAAACTGTAGTCTCCTAGCTCAGCATCCAGACACACACACACAGCAGACAGCAGCCCTGAACTAGCAGACAGAGCAGAGCTGACCACGTGGCGACTGGTCTCACCTAGGGAGCTGGAGGGCTAACTCAGCCTGGCTGGGTAAGTTTCCCAGCAAACTCTACAAACTGGGAATCAGCAGAGAAAGGAAAAGCCCAGCTGAGGGACCTTGCTTTCAGGTCCCTAGAGGCCAGGTCTCAGGGGAAACCCTGCATGCAGGCCTGGGGCTTACCAGCTCCCCACACAGCCAGCCCTACCAGCTCCGGACCCACACCAAAAATCACCTCTTCCCTCTTCTGAACTCCCCAGGAGGGGGCATCTCACTCCCTACTGGTTGCCAGGCAGGCTGAGTTTGCCTTGGTTCCCCCTCCCTACCAGAGACCGTGTGCCTCTCCGTGAATTGCCAGCAAAGGGAGCCCCAGAAATCTAGGTAATCTCCTTTGGGGTTAGATAGGTAGCACCAGGTATTTCAGGGGAGGATGCAAGGCCCCTTACATAGGCTGCAATTCAGCAACACTAAAGGATGCACTCATGTGCGTTGCTGAATAAGGATGCATGCAACCGCTTAACTGTCCGCTTGGAACCGGATAGTTTTGCAAGAGTAAATGGGAAGTTTGTCCGAAGACCAGAGAGGAAGTAGGTAGCTTGTCTTGAAGAATGAGGACAGATATTCTTGATCAGAAATGACAAGATACCACAAAGCTTAACTGATGATCTAAAGTACTTCCAGTTTCCACTGGCCTTGTAACAAGTGCCAGAGCAACTGCCAGCTCATCACTGACCAATAGAGAAAAAAACGCTTTATTACAATACAATGCATTGTGACACACAACTCACAAGATATTTGTGTCAGGTGGGAGGGGGAAAAATGGTGATCCAAGGACAAGCTACGCCCTCTGCTGCATGGAAGGAATATTTGCACTGTAGGTGCTGCAAGGCCACCTTGGTGACAACTTTCAGAATTTGACACAGGAACTACAAGCCCAGGAACTCTTCAAAAGCGGAGGATGAAGTTTAAAAATGCCCAAAGTAAAATTAGGCAACAACTTCTTGGCTTCAGCTTTCTCATAGCTAGAGACAAAACATCTAAATTTCTCGTAGGATGAGAGATGGAATTCATCTTTATCCTATGTGACTAGCTGTACCTACACATCCTGTTTAGGTGCCTACCTAGAAATACTGAACACAATGTGTCACATGCTTGCTTTCATCTAAAAAAAAAAATCACATTTCAGAAACCACACACACTGCACACATGCCACTTCAATTCTTCTGGGTTCGCCCCGTGACAAGCACAAATGAAATATTTATGTATAGTATGTGGAGTTACGGCTAGGATACATCATGACAGCCAGGAAAGGCTAGCAATTGCTGGAAGAATCCCAAAGTTATGGAACACACCAACTGAAATAGTTTTGCCTCTTGTGGCCACTGATTTCCATTGTTTTGAACTCATTTCTAATCCTCAGAGCATGACCCATGTCCTCATCTTGCAGAGGAACAGCTGCGTGGGAGCAGGAGATGTGCTCTACTCAAAGGCAGGAAGGGAATTAGATTCTTTCAGTTGCTCCCCTACGGCGGTCTACGCTATGGGGTTTTTCCAGGATACGGGAGAGTTCCCGGAAACACTCTGCTAGGTCTAGGGAACGCATGTGCTCTTCTGCCTTTTTGGGGGCAGAAGAGCAGATGCGCTCCTTTGGCAGCACTGTCTTCCTCCTTCCATGAGGAAGAAGGGCTCTTCCAAAAGAGGAGGCTTTTCCAAAATTTGGCCCTGTGTAGATGGGCCAAATTTCGGAAAAGCTTCCCCCAAAAAATCAGAAAAAGGTATGCAAATCGTGGAGCGCAATTTGCGTACCTTTTTCCAATAGATCAGTGTAGTCTAAACTCAACCTGACTGGCAGGCACTGAGCGCGCAAAACTGCTCTGGCCAAAGGACCCACTTAGCAGCAGCAAATAGAAAATAAAGCATAAATCTTGCAAAGGATATAGATGAATAGATTTACAGTGTTTCAGATAAAATCTTAAAACAACGAATGGTCCTGCAGCATCTTAGAGAACAAAAAATGCAGCTGGCATTATGAGCTTTTGTTGGCACAACCCACTTCTGATGAAAGCTACCATCTTCATTTTTTATTTGTTTCTAAGGTGCTGCAGGACCATTCACTGTTTTAAGTTTTTTCAGTTACAGACTAACATGGCTACAGTCCTGAGTGTTTCAGATATCACTGTTCATCACAATACAAAAAAATCACATGCAGGAGAGCTACTAGACACTGGAAAAAATAGCTACTGCCTTTGAACAGCAGAAAAATTACACAAGGCATATTTATGGGTTATAAAAGCCCTTTTATAAAGCCATTTTTAAACAAAACCAAAAAGTTTACAAAAGAAAATAAAAGATACAGAAGAATAAGTTGCTTAATATATTCCAAAAAGAGAAAAATAAGAGGGGACACAATTCCAACATGCTGAACGATAAAGGATTCTTTTTCTTGTTTGTTTTTGTTTTTAATACAAAATACAAGCGAAGGATACACATACTTAAACAGAGCTCGGGAGCAGGTACGCAGTCCTGGGAACCCCTCAATAAAAGCAAAGCAGGGTTTTGTTACTTTTTTCTTCTTTGCAGGTACATACAGAGACTGGAATATGTAAAATTAAGTAGCACAAAAGACCATCACACAATTCTACCAATGCAGTTGCATCTATAATTCACGAACATGGTCAACGAAGTCATGTTCACTTCAACCCCTTAAAAAATTTTAAATAAAGCATTAATGTTACATTCAAACTTAACTCCTAGTACCATGCTGCAGATCTCATATTGTCAAGCAAGGACTGCCAACCCTTATAGGGGGTTTATGCCCAGCAATGACAGTGTCATGTTTAGCAACACTCTCAGGTAACGGACCAGTAGAAAAAGTCCTTTTTTCTGGTCACTAATAGGCAAGAGGCGCAAAACCTGATGAGGGCTTACTTTAACAAAAGCCCAATGGTGTTGTGAACACTGAAGATAATTATTCATTGCATACCACTGAGTGGTGCCTTGCTGAAATCATGGGCTCAATGCCCAACTTGGAGTCTCTTCTGCATTTATTTCAGGGTAGTTATGTAGGGCTTTTATGACATGTTCATGGTGAAACAAGTTATGTAGCTCTTATTTACAATTTCTGTAACAATTGCTTCTGCAGGAAAAAGTAAAACTCACAAATTTCCAGAAGAGAGGGATAAAATTATCAGACACTCCCATGCGCGCGCACACACACTTGCGCACTCACACACAAAATACTCCAGGGGCATTCACACACATGGGTGTGGCTTACGCTGATTATTTCTTCATCCCACCCTGCCCCTCCCAATATATATAAATATATATGTAACCCTGACCCCGACATACAAAGCATATGCACAATGGTGTCTTGCAGTCACACTGAGCATGCTCAGACTGATGGAACCATTCAATTCCCTGAAGTGGTCCGGGGCAGGCAGCTAACAGAGATCTTTCCAATAGTGGTTGATACATTGAGTCAGCATATAGTGAGAACTTGACTAGGCTTAGAAAGAGAAACATTTGCATTTTTATAAAGATTTTAATGAAAGAGAATGTTCAAATGCCAGGCATCAACGGACATGGGAAATGTAAAAGGAGGACATGGTAGATTCTGGGAGATGCTTTCCAAAGACACTATCACTGTTTGTAATTGGTGTCAGATGCACTAACATCCACTTTGCAGTAGTGAAAGTCAGAAATTTGTTTTTGAAAAACCATGTTCATCAATAGGATTTGTTATAAAAATAAACCTTCTACAGACAAGTTACATGAAGCAAAGCACCAATTCTACAGCTTAAAAGCTTCCAGCATGTTGGTTTCTCCTTAGCCGAATGGTCCACTGTACATGTGGGTTAGCAGCTGTTGCCAAATACCTTCTGTTCCCGCCCCTGGACAAACAGTTCTTTGCTTCCTGTGCAGCTACCTGGTGGTGCAGAAACTGAGCATGCTTTTAGAACAAATTACCTACCCTTCCATTCACCCCAGGTCAGCAGTAGATATACTAGAGGAAGTAAGCCATTTGCCCTCCCCAACACACTTCTCTGCTTCAATATGATAGTTTGATCTTACTTATTAAAAGCCTCCTAAGCGGCCCATACATTTAAATTCTGCTTTCACCCTCCACTCTAAACCCTAACCCCATCTAATTTTAACTTAAATTCCTCTGTTGAAAGGAATTGACATGTATGTTGAATTTATAGAATCAATTTGAACAGAAATTCGATAAAGCTATATTTGATATTAAGATTTAGTGCACCCATTTCCACACATCAATGAAATCTTGCTTGTACACCTTTGTTGGCCACACGTAATGGCCTGTTAAAGACATTACTATTTGTATACAAATGCAAACTCAAATCTCATGGGGTCCCAAAGCAGAAAGCTCAAAAGGTACCTGGCAGAAGTTAATGGATAAGCTGCCATTTTAGGATGGGGACCAGGACAGGTGCTAGATTATTTGCAACTCTGGAGTAAGTCCATTCATTTCAGTGGAGATGCTCCAAAGGTACACCTAGGCAACAGATCATAATTCATCCAAGGTACTTAACCCTTTACTGATCTGGGGAGATGGGCAGGAGAGAACAGCAATCTGTTTTGTTCATTAGAAAACTATTCTGAAGTAGAAACCCAGTCCTATCCTCCCCATAAAAAGAGGTGCCTTGCTACTTTTCTTCACTGAATTAATATGCTTGGAAACAAAACATTTAAAATTACATGCTTAAAAAGTTAGTCTACTGCTAATGAGAAATGCTCAGCCCATCTTAAAAATACCAGCAACTTTGTCTTCACAATTTTCTTCAACCCACAGAAAAAATGAACTGCTCTACTTCCAATTGAGAACGTAACCTGGAGACAAGTGGATCTAGACCACTAGGATTTAGTGTTTGTACGTACTATCGAAACACTAGCCTACTGAGAAACAGTTACAAAAATCCAAACAAAAATGTAGCATTTACATAGTGTTCAGATTGTGACAGATTCAAAATTAAGAACCCTACGATCCTGACATGTCCGCCATTAGTCAAGAATACACAAGCAGAACAACTGAAAGATTCAGGGCCATAATTGCCAGTTATGAGAGAATCCATAGTCCACAGACTTGAGTTTATCAACAGAGGTCAAATATGAACACTTAATTTCCAGGTTTCAGGTACATATATCTCACAGCCTGGACATTAGTTTAACTTTCATTAAAAAAAGGAAAATATGCTTTCATGGAAATAAAACTTGCACCCTTCAGAACAAATTCTGGTCTAAGGGTGAAATGTATTTAGACAATTAAAAAGACATTTAGCTGATTGACCAGATCTACTACTGGAGGCATTCTATTCTTAGGTAAATCTTGTACATTTAAAAACAAAACAAAACAGGTGTGAACCAACAACCCAATAGACAAGAAAGGCTTAAGTGTGTATATTTGTAGTTTGTATTGAGAGGAACCATCTGCATGGACCAGAAAGACAGTCATGGAAGAGCAGGTTACCCAAAAATGTGAATTTATATGCACAGTAGCCACATAGCTGACTGTTTAGAAGTTGGTCATTTAATCTTTTTGTACATTACTAAAGAATTACAGGACTATGAGCTGTAAAGTTTCACTTAAAGATTGCAAGAGACTTTGCTCTCCTAATATTCGGATGGGAAAGTTATACATTCACTTCTTGCTCAAGACAGTCATATCACAGTCCAGCCTGAAGTTGTACTGCCAAAAAAGTTAAACCCCTAAGAATAGAGATTTATTATGAAAACACTGGTAGCCTTTATGACAGTGGCAAAGATAGTCTCAATTAGAGAACTTAAAATGCATACGCCAAGGTAAAATACAGCCTCCCAATTAAGTTAACAGCTATGAATCAGGTAAAAACAACTTGGCTGCAAGCTGTCTTTTTAGCTCAGTGACATTAGGCTCCGTGGGATACTCTGCCAGTTCTCCTCCCAGATCATAGTAGTGCGTCCCGTCTGAAAGCTTTCAGAAATCCAACAAGCTTAAAAATCCAGTAACACGTACCCCAGAAATCCAACTCTCTGTCTTGTTACCTTGAAGAGGCTGGTTTAAGAACACATACAATTCACCTCATTGACTGAAAAGATTATGACTGTCAAGCTTGCCAGCTAGGAGAGAACGTGCAAGGTAGATAGAAAGCATAAAGGGTTAAAAAGGTGTCAAGTCTAGTTTCTTATATTTCCACCAACAAATACTGTAGTCCCCGTATCAAGACTTCAAGGAAAAATCCTGTGTACTTTTATTCATAAGGGTTAAAGGAGATATGGCTGCTTTGAAAGAAACACATTAAAATGCCACTGCACTGACATCAAGTGTATTGAATTTGGTGGGACAGTCTGCTTTTGTTATGCATCACAGTCCTGCTACTACCCTGCCATCAACACAGTTCCCTCCTAGTTTTATCCTGTTAGTGCGCCAATTCCTACTCAGCCAGTGTTTTGGCTTAGGTAGCAGAATGCTGACTACTTTAGGCGCAGACATCGGGGTGTGAGAACAGCATAAAAAGCAGTCCACACTGCAGGAAGGAGAAGAAATGGAACTGATGATGGGATAAAGTTATGTTCTATACTGGTGGGAGTCTGCCATCCAAACACTACAGCTGAAGAGGGTTGAGAGGTATGACTACATAGCCTTTCTGAGGACAGACGGAAAGAGAGGAGAGAAACACTTAAGCATGACTCATGGGATCTGAGACTGTGGCCTTACAGGAATCCATCACTTCAAATTTATAAAATGACCACCCTCCCTCCCCCCAAATCTCAGACTAAACTCTAGTTTAAGTCAATTTTTTTGCATAAAATGATTTTAAGGAATAAAAGCCTCCCGTGATACCATAAGTAAACTAAGCTTTAAAATTGTTTTACACTCTCCCTCCCATGCTCTGCCTAACTATATCCAGCCATGAAGTGACAGGGATAACGGGTTTGAGCAGCTGGTGGGTTGCAGGTCTGAAGCCTAAGGAACGCAGTTTGCCAAGAGCAGAATGCAATTCTACCCAGTCAAAAGCAAATGGTATCCTGTCCTTATTGGATGAGTCCTTTCTGAAGGATGAAACACAAAAGTAAGACTCCAGAATATTCCCTATTAAAATAGTTGCATGAACCCAACAAGCTCAGATATGGGTAATTATGGTCTTATTTAGAATTCATTAATCTCCTTTTTTTGTGAGGGAAGTTGTCAACTGAAAACACGTGCTAAAAGGTGAATTTGTTGAGTGTTCCAATAAGGAACAGTAGTTTTGAAGGACCCTTTCCAGCTTTGGGAAATCTGTTACTTGATTTGCAAATATAATTCCAAGCAGCGGCCTCATATGTTATTGCTTCAAAACTGCAACATCCCTTCAAAATATGTATTTTTAGTAAGTGATCCATTTATTACTTTTAAATGGTTTTCAGATTTGGTGGGAGACAAGAATGGATTGGCCAATGGAGAACAGTGATTAAAAAAAAATTACTGTATAAGGGTTCTCTCTTTATAAAAGGACACTGTATTAAACAATTCAAAATAAAGACAGCATTCAAAGCCCATGAGTCAAGCCACAGCCAAAACCGTGTTCTACCCCTAAGTAAGTTTTCTTTTCCTCTTTTTATTTTATTTTTTTAAAAAAACAAAACAATCTCCCCAAACTGCCATTTAATCTTCACCAGAGGCTGCTTCATCATCAGACCCTTCATCCCCTGATTTCTCTGGAGGAGGGCTAGATGATTTTTTCTTTTCTGGTGGGCTTTCAGGCTCTTCATCTTCTTCTTTGGGGGATGGGGTCTTCTCTTTCGATGCCTTTGAGGCTGTAGGGCGGCCTGCCTTCCCTTTGCCTTTCACCGGACTGGGTGTCACTGTAGAAAACAAAACACTAGTTTCATGAGATTGGCTACAATTACCTAAGAATTCATACAACCTCTACTTGGAAAATGTATTATCCAAACCAAATCCAGGTTTTTTTTGGTAAGACGATACTTGTAAAGATGAGTTCTACATTAGTGCTTTTGGAGCAACAAACTGCATTCATGTGAATAATGATGCCATAGCCGAAGTAACAGATGATCTAATCAATGAGAAAGCAGCAGAAGGAAAGCAATTGAAAAGAAAAAAAGCCATAATTTTCATAAGGTTTGTCAATATCACAGATAGGTTTCATTAACAGAAAGCAAGCTTCTGCAGAATACCCCAAATGTTCCTCAAAATGAGGGACTTCACTCACTGTAATGACAATGTTACCAGTACTATGAAGGAAGGATATCCTTGATTTCATAGGTGAGGTTATTCACATCCGAAAAATAGTTTTGTGAAGCACTAGTTACACAAGCATTACCTACACAAAAGAAACAAAATCTTACAACACTACAGCTTTCTGTTACTAATTTTACTTTAGGTTTCACCTTGAGTTTGTCACTTACGTCAGCCCGCTCTGGAGCTGGGTTTGAAAACTAAGAGGCACCATCTTTGGTGCAAGTGAATGTCAAACCTACTTATGGTTAACTTCATCCTGGGAGATCTGAGAGAATTATTTCAGGAGCAGGCTACCATTTTATTATGAATCCATTTGACACTTTGTAGGCATTTGGAGGAAAACAAAGGTGCCTGATAGTAAAATGTCCTTTTTAAATCTGTTATGCAAAGTTACTGAAGAGTCTTATGAACTCAAAGGAAAGTGTTTCGAAGAGAGGTGTTTCTAAGAGAGGCTTAAAAACCATTCAATTGCAAGATTTAATAACCTGCTGAATGGCAGCACTGTGGTATCAGAGCCAAGCAGCTACCTGCAGTACAAAAGCTGATGGTACGGCTAGACTGCAGGAGTTTTTCAGGATTCCGGAGATATCCCAGAAAAACTCTTCTGCATCTAGGGATGCGTTTGTTCTTCTGCTTCCTTTACTGGAAGAGCAACCATGATCTTTCGGTCACCCCTATTTTCCTCTTTCCACGAGGAATAAGGGGGCTTCCAAAAGAAGCAGGTTTTCTGACATTTGGTCTGGTCTAGACAAGTCAAATGTTGGAAAAACCTCTTCCTACAGAAGAATTGGGGGGAAAAAAGCAGCAGTATAAGAGTTGGGGATAGCAAGTGATGGAGGAGGAGAATAGAGAGGGCAGGGCTTCAAGTAAGCGGCAGGACTGTAAATCTTGGCTTGTTCTGTCATTTAAGAAGTGATCTTGGGTGTAAAAAGGTTGGAGACCACTGTTTTAGGCTAACTTTTCTCACGCTTATGGTCAGCTAGAAAAGTGGAATAAAAATGCATTCAGTAATATGAATATCTATGCACCTCTATATACCTATGTCTACATTCAGAGGTCATTTAGGCCCAAGTATCAACTACTTTAAGTCACCACAGGACAAGTGGTCTGGCTGGACAAAGAACTCAGGGAGTTCTCATCCCCACACTGCCACTTGCATAATCTTTTGGGTCTCAAATTCCATACCAATAAAATTGATTTAATGTCATCTACTTCACAAGGCAGTTGATCAATTTTGGAATGCTAAATATTTAAAATAATCTAATTATTCCTTACTAGTCTCCAGAAATATTATGAAAATCATTAGGAAAAAAGTAACATTTACACACTCAGACACTTGCCAACTGATCCTTACAATTTCAGAAATGAGTATTTTTGCAGCAAGTGGCTTCCCAACCAATAAGCTCACCTGTAGCTTTTAGCCTGGGCTTAGGCATTTTCTTTTCTTTCCTCTCTGGCTTTGATTTCTTGGCCACCTTTTTTTTGTTCTTTTTTGAACTGCCATAATCACTGTCATCATCATCTTCCACGAGGAAGTCTTCATCACTGCCAGAATCTTCTGTATGGATAGAGGAAGGAAGTGTGTATTTCTGAAGAATACTTTAATCTCTTACGCACAAAGAAAGGAAGTGGTCTAGCAATTAGACTGGGAGTAGGTGAACAGGAGAGCAGTAATTCAAGACTTTAGTGTAGAAATCATTTTACCACTTTTCCAGAGTTTATCTGTAAATATTTCATAGCACAAGACTTAAAGTTGTAAAGAAACAGAGCTTCAAGTCAAGCCCTGAGCAAAGAAGTGCACAAGAGAAAAATAGGACTCATGTTACAATACAGTAATTGTGTTCTGGGGAAATTATGCACCATTGCTTGTGCACAGAATTCATGTCACCTGCATATTTGTTTCCCACAGAAAAATGATTGACAGGGAAGCAAAGTGAAGCTGGCAAGAGCAGTCACACACCACTCACATTTCAAGTACCCAGAGCAGCTGGCAGAGAGGTAAGTCACAGGGATGTTCGCGTGTAACTGTTTAACCGATAAGCTAATGCTTATCCATTAATGATGTTGGTTACACTCAGCCGGCTCCCAGGTAGGCAGCTTTGTTGCAGCAGGGCACCAAAGCCTCCTCCCCAGGAGCCTTCCCGTAGACCAGCAGGAGCTGGCCACCTAGTTCCCAGGGAAACTTTGTGGGCTCTGCAGTATAAAGCTTATTTATGCTTTATACTGCAGTTTGCAGCGTGTAACCACTGAGATTGTCAGTGACTCCTACCCTAAGCCAGGATCAAATACTAGTTCTGGCTGGGCTAGATGGAGGCAAGAGAAGGCAGAATCGACAGACTCGTCTTTCCCTGCACAGAGTGGCTGAGCCTCCCAGAAACCTCGCCCAGCAGCAGAAAGTTCAGCACACACCATCCCTATTTTCTGCCATTGGATGGGGAGAGTGGATCCCCAACTGCAGGGGCCACTGTATGAGGGGAGCTGTTACCCATTCACCTGAGTCCCATGCATTGGGGCCTCTCATACACAGAGAAAAGAACGGTTACTTACCTGTAACTGTTGTTCTTCGAGATGTGTTGCTCATGTCCATTCAAAGTAGGTGTGCGCGCCGCGTGCGCCACGTCTTCCGGAGCGTTTTCCCTAGTGGTACCCGTAGCGCCGGCGGGGCGCCCCCTGGAGTGGCGCCGCCATGGCGGGGCATAAGTACCCCTTGCCAGCGCTGCCCCACCTCAGTTCCTTCTTGCCCGATACTCCGATGAAGGGGAGGGAGGGGGGGACTCTGAAGGGGCAACAGTTACAGGTAAGTAACCGTTCTTTTCTTCGAGTGGTTGCTCATGTCCATTCGAAGTAGGTGACTACCAAGCTAACCCCAAGGAGGAGAGGTCGGAACAGTCATAGCGCCAGAGTCATAAAGGAAGGTGAACAATAAAGACATTTATTTGAACAAATAAACCATGACAAGTCACCAACCCAGAACAAAGACAACCAGATCTATATATTTACATCACAGATTCGAGGACTGCAGAGCCCACCCTTGCATTCTCCCTGGCCTGTTGAGGTAGCGCATAATGTGTTGCAAACGTATGGCGGGAAGACCAGGTGGCTGCCCTGCAAATTTCTGTGATAGGTACTTTGGCACCAAAGGCTACCGAGGACGCCTGCGCCCTGGTAGAGTGTGCCTTCACCCTGGGTGGGGTTTTACCAGCCAGTTGATAACACTCTGCTATACACTGCACCACCCATCTTGATAACCTTTGCGTAGAAATAGTATCCCCAGATGCAACAAACAAATGTTGGGATTTACAGAAGGGCTTGGTTCGGTCAATACAAAAGGCCAGCGCTCGCTTGGCATCCAGAGAGTGTAGGACACGCTCTTTAGGGGACGCGTGAGGTTTAGGGAAGAACACCGGTAAATAAATCTCCTGAGATAGGTGAAAGGGAGAAACCACCTTCGGGAGGAAGGTTGGATGAGGTTGTAGCCTTACGTTATCATGTGAAAAAACAAGGTAGGGCGGCTCTACAGTCAGCACCCTTAACTCTGATACCCTTCTAGCAGACGTAATGGCTACTATGAAAGCAACCTTCAATGAAAGGTGCTTCAGTGAACATGTAGCCAAAGGCTTGAAAGGAGGGAACATCAGCCTGTGAAGGACCAGGTTGAGGTTCCATTCAGGGTATGGAGCCCTCACCGAGGGGTAAAATTTCTCCAAACCAGTAAGAAACCTTTTAACCACCTGGTTAGAAAAGAGAGAGGTTCCTGCCATACCAACATGGAAGGCAGAGAGAGACGCCACATGGACTTTAATAGAAGAAAAGGACAGGCCAGAAGAACGGAGTTGAAAGAGATAGTCGAGAATAGTTGGAATGGGGCCGAGGACAGTTGTACTCCTCTCCAGGAAGCCCAAGACGAGAAGCGCCACCACTTGGCAGCATACGACCGTCTAGTAGAGGGCTTCCTGCTGCTAAGGAGCACCATCTGTACCTGTGGGGAACATTCCCTCTCTGGTTGGTTCAACCACGGATAAACCAGGCCATTAGGTGAAGAGACCGGAGATCCGGGTGAACCATTACCCCCTCGTCCCAAGGTTGGGTTAGCAGATCCTGAACTGGAGGGAGTGCTATAGGGTCTTGGGTCAGCATGCCCACCAGGATAGGGAACCAGAACTGCCTGGGCCACCTGGGGGCTATGAGGATGATCGAGGACCTGAAAGTTCTCGCTCTGGTCAATACCCTGGAAACTAGTGGAAATGGGGGAAAAGCATAGAGAATGCCCTTTGGCCACATGGTCGTCAGGGCATCCCCCAGGGAATATTTCCCCAGCCCCAGCAGGGAACAGTAGTTCCTGCATTTCGCATTGCATGCCGAGGCAAACAGGTCTAGGTGGGGATAGCCCCACCTGTGGAAAACTTGGCTGAGGACAGAGTCCTTGAGTGACCACTCGTGGGCTCCAAAGGATCTGCTCAGTGTGTCTGCAAGTAGATTTTTGCACCCGGGGAGGTACTCTGCCTGAGGCGTGATATTGTGGGTGACACACAGGTGCCATAGACGCAGGGCCTCCTTGCACAGGGGTGGCGAACGCGCCCCACCCTGCTGCAGTGTTGTCCATACGTACCAGGATGGAGCGGTGGGAGAGCCTCGGCAGGAACGCTTCGCAGGCCCTCCTCACCACCCACAGTTCCCGGACGTTGATGTGCAGGGACCGTTCAGAAAGGGACCAGAGGCCCTGAGTTCTGTGGCACCCAAGGTGTGCACCCCATGGTGACCAGCGTCAGCGAGGGGGGGAGGGGCGTTGAATGCACACCACGGATTCCTGGGTCCACCAGAGAAGGGAGTCCAGAATGTCCGGGGGCACTGTGACTATGGAGTCCCATAGAACCTTGGACTGGCAGAAGACCTTCGCCAACCACGCCTACAGAGGTCTCATCCTCATCCTGGCATGTCGCACCGTGTAAGTGCATGTCACCATGTGGCCCAGGAGCCTGGAGCAGACCCGAGGTGTCGTGATGGGGGACCGAATTAGCCCTGAGATCAGCTCCACTATGGAGAGGAACCTGCTGTGGGGCAGGAACGCTCTTGCCACCTTCACATCGAGGAGGGCTCCCACAAACTCTATGCTCTGGGAGGGGGGTCAGAGATGACTTCGACATTTATCATGAGCCCACACAGGAGAGACCAACCTCATGCAACACATCCTGTGCAATAAATGCAGGAAAGCATCCTATAACGTCAAAGACCATCCATGAAATGTTGGTAAACATAACCACTGAGTAGCTGTCCACAGGCAAAGCTATACAAGACACAGTGTATTATTTCAGCTAGTAAGCACTGTACAGTGGATATCCTGAATCTGAAAGTCCAGCCACAGGTTAAAGGGCATTAAATGGGTCGCCGGAGGGACCTCCTGTGACTGGGCCTGATAGCCACATGGAAGTAGGCGTCCTTTAGATCGCGAGTCGCGTACCAGTCGCAGCACTGGGATGACCGAGGCCAACATCACTATTCTGAACTTGTGTTTTACAACCACCTCGTTTAAGTATCGAAGGTCCAGGATAGGACGAACTCCCCCTTTTGGTTTTGGAACAACAAAATAACGGGAGTAAATCCCCCTGCCCCGCAGATGCGGGGGGACCCTTTCTATTGCTCCTTTTTCGAGGAGCGCCACCACTTCCTGAAACAGGATGTGTTTGTGAGGGGTGTCCCTTACTAGGGACAGGGTAGGGGGTTTTGAAGGCGGTGGGCCCAGGAACGGGATAGAATAGCCCATATGTACAATGTTCAGGACCCAGGCATCTGATGTTATCAGGACCCATGCCTGGGCAAAACGGGATAGGCGGGCCCCAAACGGGGGGCCAGGGTGGCAGACTGGTACGGGACTCTCGAATACAGTGTCAAAACTGGGGCTTGCCCTGATTGGAAGGGCCGTGGGGACCTGTCCGCTGGGGATCTGACCTGGGGCGACAACGTCGACCCCTAGGCCCGAGGATGTGCTGCCGCCCCGGAACCTCCACCGGAGGCCCGGGAGCGGCGCCTCCAGAAATCCCCACGGGGGAGCTGGGGCTGCGCTCTACCCTGCTGCCTATACGGCAGTTGTCATCGCTGCGTGGCCAGCATATGTATTCCTAAGGACTTCAAAGTTGACGTAGTGTCCTTTAGGGTATGGAGCCTGGAATCGGTGTGCTCCGAGAACAAGGCCTTCCCTTCAAAGGGCAAGTCCTGGATGGTGTGCTGCAAGTCCGAGGGAATCCCCGAGACGTGGAGCCACGCCCTGCGGCGCATAACGACACCAGTCACCATGGTGCAGGCTGCCGAGTCCACAGTGTCCAATGCCGCTTGGAGGGCAGTTCGTGTAATGACTTTCCCCTCGGAAGCCATAGCCGCAAACTCCTGGCGGTCCTCCATTGGGAGTCGGTCTCTAAATTTTTCGACCACCTGCCAGGTGTTAAAAGCATACCTGCTCAGCATCGCCTGCTGGTTAGCGATACGGAGCTGCAGAGCACCTGTAGCGTAGACCTTACGGCCCAACAAGTCCAGCTTCTTAGGCTCCCTTGCCTTTGGAGAAGGCCCGGGCTGGGGAAGCCTTTCTTTTTGGGCCACGGCCTGAACGACCAATGATCCTGGGATGGGCTGGGAGTAAAGAAATTTGTGACCCGACTGCGGGACGAAATAACGCCTTTCTACCCCTTTTTGGGTAGGAGTCAGAGTTGCTGGCGTTTGCCACAGGGCATTAGTAATTTTTGAAACAGTTTTATTGAGTGGTAGAGCGAAACGCGCAGGGGTGTCCTCAATGAGGATGTCTACCATTGGATCGGCATCCTCAATTATGGGCTCAACCGGGACAGCCAGGTTGGAAGCCATGTGCC